AGAATTATTCTCATTATATATTATATTCTTGACTTTTTTGTCATAAATAGGGAGTAATGAAGATGGAATGTGCACACGTAGGACTCTTTTTATTTTTAAACCTAAATATGACTAAATTTTCGTTTTGTTCCTATTCTACCCTTAATGAGTTGTCCGCTCCAGCCAACTCCTAAAACGGCAAAACCCTCGGTGACTTGTTTTCAATTTCGCAGACCAAGCTTCGCAACGGACAGCAAACTCATGGACAACAGCGAGATGATGAAACGATGAATAGGCGGCGCTAAAAAAAATACTGGCTAAAAAAGTTCTAAACCTAAGTTTCGACTTCTAAGTGTCCCATTTTTGTCTCATCCTTTCGTCGTAGGACCAAAGCTCTTATTCGTATTTGGTTGTTAAAAAATCCTAATTTGATCTGAAATGCCAAAAATATGGCATTCTTACTCTTCATAAATTCCATATTTTCCTTTGAATTAGAGTCCGGGAGCTCTTTACCCTCAAATGCCTTCGTTCCTGGAAGGTCGTTATTCTCTATGGTTTTGAATTCAATCTATCATTCTCTCCCTTCTGTTTCCATTTTTAAATTTTTGAGCGGGTCGTAAAAATGGCATCGTGAACAGGCAAACGAGGACCTGTAATGGGATTAGCCTGTGATGCGTCTGGTGGCCTGCTAGCAACAACAGGTGCAGATAGGAAAGTACAAGTTTGGGATGTTGATGGAGGCTTCTGTACCCACTATTTCAAAGGTCGTAAGGGAGTTGTGACTAGCATTATGTTTCATACCGAACCAAATCGTCTAATTGTGAGTTCTGGTTTTTGATTTTTTGATAAGTATATTGATTGAGGCATTTATTTATTTTTATTAAATCTAAATGAAAATTTATACGTTTTGTGATTGTTTATCTACTTTGAGTGTTTATTATAGGGCTGACAATTTGAACCGAAAAATCGAAAACGGACCCCAAAAAAACCGAACCGCCAAAGAGAAAACCAAAACGAATCGAAAAAATTGGGACCCGAAGTCTACCTCGTTTCGGTACCGGTATTTGATATGCTAAAAGTCGGTTGAACCGAACCGAACCGATATTATATACTCATATTATTTATAAAAATCATTTTTTAAATTATATAAATTTTGAAAAGCCCAAGTCCTCTATTTTAAATACGATTTGGCCCAACTGCCCCAGTCCATTAGGCTAGGAAAATAATTGAAATTAGGTAATTCTCATTCGGTCATTCTTCTTCGCAAGCTACATATATATACGCATGGGCGGATGTACTTGAGGGCAGAGGTGGACTTCAGCCCAGCCCAATTTTTTTAGTTAGTAGAGGTATATATTATATTCTGAGCCGACCTCAAAATTAATTCTCAGCCCAGCCCATTATTAATCCCAGCCCAGCGCTCCAGCCCACATTCTAGCCTTACTTGCGCTTCTCGGCCTACTTACTTACGCAAATTAGAGAGTTGCGAACGATTGAACTTTGAAGACCTGTGAAGTGCGAAGTGCGAACTGCGGTCTGCGAAGGAGCCTGCGACGAGGAATCGAGGATGAATGAGTTGTGAACCTGCGTGAACATTAGCCGCGCCGCCTACGTCGTCCGCCGTCCGCCCACCGCTGTCTGTCTGTCCTTGTCCGCCTCTGGCCCTCTGCGGCTCTGCACCTCCCTCCAGGTAAACTTCAAGTCTCCAATTCTCCAAATTCAATTTCTGTTTTAGATTTTAGATTTTTTCTTGTTATTAGATTGTGAATGTGTTATTCTCCAAATTCTATTTCTAAACTCCAATTGCCGACTTGAATGTGTTATAAGTTATTGTGTATCTGTGTATCTGTGTATTAATCTATTACGGAGTATTATTTTTAGCGTTTTAGAGTTTTAGAATTAGGGAATCATTATGATTATTAATTGAATTTTTCAGTACATAATTAAATAGTGTTTAATTCATTATAAATTTAGAATGATTAAAGATAAAATTAAAGAGTAGAAAATGATTTAGTTATTATACAATTGAAAATTGAGAATGCTTATTACTTTTATGTACAAGTGTACAATGTTTGTTTTTTCCTTATTAGTTATGAAGTATATTTTTTATATAAGTATTTTAATTTATACCAATATTGGAAATGCTTTTTAGAATGGATAATGAACACATTGCCAAGAAAGGGAATAAGTTGATTTCATCATTCTTTCCGAAAGTGAATCGTGAAACTGGTGAAGGGAGTTCTGAACCTATACCTACGATTTATTGATGATCTACATTGAATGAGACTTTGTGAATAATATAGATATAGATTCTATTATTGATGAATTTTATACTTTGAAGTCACGTAGGGACAACTTAAATGATGTTTTGATGAATATTTAAAGTGTTGACGACTTGACTTATTATTATGTATGTGTATTTCAATTTTTTCCAGCCCACCCCATTGGGACTTTCTGGATCCGCCCTTGTATATACGCCGAATGAAGAGGTGAAGAGAGCAACTACCATCACCTACTACCATCTACACTACCAGGGCTGACTGTCAAATGCCATCGCTCCGGGTACCATCTTCGGTCTAACATTGCAGGTAAGTATTACTCCTTACCTATTATCTTGTTCTGCTCTTCAATTGATTTTTCTAGGGAGAACTATCAAATAAGCTCTCGAACTTTCATAAAAAGTGCAAATAAACCCTTTTATAGGAGGTTCTGTTCGGCCGTCGCCATTTGGGGCGATTTCCACTGGATTTATTTGATGAAAATTTTTGAGCATTTTCTTCATTAATTCTAGTTTACTCATACCAGATCTAAGCTAAACATTCAATCGGGAAGACAATCAAATGAACTTTTGAAGATAACTGCGCACTTAGGCAGCACAATATATTTCAGAAAATCATTTGACTGCCTTCTCGATTGAATTTTTAGCTGAAATTTGGTATGAATAAACTAGACTTAATGAAGAAGATGCTTAAAAAATTCATCAAACAATTCTACCGGAAAACCGTCCAAATGGTGACAGCCGGACAAAGCCTCCTGTAAAAGAGCTTATTTGCACTCTTTATGGAAGTTCGAAGACTTATTTGATAGTTCTCCCAATTTTCTAAACATGTGAAAGAAAAATAGGAACTGATGGAAGAAAACAGTATGATGTACTGATTAGGGTTGTAAACGAATCGAATCGAACCGAATAGTGAGTAATATTATTCGTATTCGTGTAAATTGACGAATATTTGTATTCGTATTCGGATATTATTCGAATCTTACAATAGATTCATATTCAATTCGTTTATTGTATTTGAGTATATTCATATTCGAATTCGAATATTAAAATTCCAATTCAAATTTTTGAAGTGTCAAAAAAATCCACCTATTCAAATTATGACTCATTTTAGGCATTTTTCGATTTTCACAAATGTCTATTAAATGAATTATTTCAAAAATTCAATTACTTCAAAACTCAATTGCTAAAGAAACAAACACAAATAAAGTAAACAAAGTTAATTCAATTACTTAAATCTAGAATACATATTACCTATTTTATATTTTAATTTTAAACAATTATATAAATTATAAATATAATAGAATATATATTTATAATTCGTAAATATACAAATCGAATATATTCGAATAACTTACGAATCACATATATGTATATTCGTATTCGTATTCGAATTTTATTCGAATAATAAAATTGATTCGTATTCGAATTCGTATTCGAATGTTTCGAATTGGAATCATCAATTTCAAATTCGAATCGCGAATCGGGTCAAAATTATTCGATTCGTTTACAACCATAGTACTGATGACAGGGCCGACCCAAAATTTTCGAGGGCCCAAAAAATTAATAGTAGCTAGGCTTCCAGAAGTTCAGCCCAAGCTCAAAGAAATAGAGGGAACCTCAAGCGACGGAAACTTCAAAGGTCAGAGGATTCGACGGACGACTTCTTTAGCCGCCAGCCCGCCATCACGCCTCGAACCAAGAGTCCACATGTTCGGCCGTTCCGGGGCTCATCGGCTTGTTCACCTTCTGTCTGCATGTTCTCCTAAGTCCTAATCGACTCATTAAGTCACAGGCTCACTGCGTCACCGCCTCACCGGCTCACCGCCGGTCTGCCTCGATACTTGGTAACTGACTAAGCCTTAAGCACACGATTTTCTGAATTCTATCTTAGCTTTTTAGTTGTTTATTTATTGAAGTTATTAAGTAATTGAATTGATAATAATTGTATTTAAGTATTTAACAATTAAGAAATTGGTATAAGTATGTTTTTATTAGGTTTAATGGCTTCATTCAAAATCTAAACTGAATTTCAACTTAAATCAATTTGTAAACTTGTAGAAGATTAGTGAAGGATTTTAATAATTCGTAGTAATTATGTGTTCAAAGCAATACTCATCCGGATTTAAGAATCTCAACAAGAAAAGAAGACTCAAAAAGTTAACTTTGTTTAAAATAAGAGCTCTTGATAAATTCGTCATCAATGTATTTTTTGGTTAATTAGTAACTTGTATTTTAACACAAATTAGAGTTGTTGGAATTTTGAAAGAAAGGCCCAATTTTTTTATGTGGAACAGGGCCCCCATTTTTTCAGGTCCGGCCCTGAGTCTGATGTAGTGTGTGAAATGAAGTAATTATGATCCAGAATAATGCCCTATTACATTCAATACATTGTACATTATGTGGAGATCCCTTAGATAATGAAGTTCCCTTAGTTTCTATTATTCAGCCAGTAGCTTAGTAATTTAGTATTATGTAAGTAAATAAGTAATAAAAAATGAACAGTAGCTTAGTCCATCTTATATAAGAGGACTGCACAAAATCAGTACACAGCTCAAGGCTGCTCACGAATAAAAGAAAGTGAGCAGAAGAGATGATAGATGAAAAAGAACGAAAAAGGAGATAAAGAGAGGAAGGAAAGAGAGGGAAAATAGGAAATATGCCAAGAGAAAGTAGGAGAAAATTTGGCCAGATGTTAAGGTTTGAGTTTATTCCTTCTCTAAAATATATTTCAAATCATATTGTTACTATATTAATTTTATTGCTATATGTCATATTTAAAAGGGAAAAGGGGCAAATAAGCCCTTGAACTAACCGAAAAAGTGCAAATCACCCCTTTTATAGGAGGCTCTGTCCAGCCGTTGCCATTTGAGGAGGTTTCCGGTGGAATTTTTTGATGAATTTTTTTAGCATCTTCTTCATTAAGTCTAGTTTACCCATACAATTTCAGCTAAAAATGCAATCGAGAAGGCAGTCAAATAAATGTTTGAAGATAACTGCGCATTTAAACAACACAGTATATTTCAGAAAATCATTTGTCTGCCTTCCCGGTTGAATTTTTATCTGAAATTGGGTATGGGTAAACTAGACTTAATGAAGAACATGCTCAAAAAATCTCATCAAAAAATTCCTCCGGGAACCCCCCAAATGGCGACGACTGGACAGAGCCTCCTATAAAAGGGGTGATTTGCACTTTTTCGGTTAGTTCGCGGGCTTATTTGCACCTGTTCCCTCTTTAAAATAATGTTTAGCTAAAGTCTTATTTTTACTTTACATGTTAATTTATTGTTTTACATGTAACTATATAAATGAAGTAATTATACTAATTAGGTAATACATCTAAACATGTATAGTAACTTGAGACATGAAATATGCAAAAACAGATAAACAAGAAAGAAAATATCCTGCAAGAGGCATACTAAAAATCACTGCTGAATCCAGAGGTGGATAATATAACATTAGATACCATTTTTATTTGAAATATATACTCAATATTTGTTTTTACTAATGTGTGTATCATTTTGGTGCATAACCAATAGAAGATGACTTCCGTAACATTGAAGAAGAACTACAAGTGCGTTCAGTCCCTACAACAATTCTATTCCGGCGGGCCGTACGCAGTCTCGTCTGACGGGTCTTTCCTCGCTTGCGCTTGCAATGAAACCATTAAAATCGTGGACGCTTCGAATGCATCCTTAAAATCAACAATTGAGGGTGATTCTGAGCAGGTCACAGCTCTTGCTCTTAGTCCTAACAACAGTTTGCTCTTCTCTGCCAGTCACAGCCGCCAAATTAGAGTCTGGGACCTCTCTACCCTCAAATCCCTTCGTTCCTGGAAGGTCATTATTCTCTATGGTTTTGAATTCAATCTATCATTTTATCCCTTCTGTTTGCATTTTTTTAATTTTTAAGCGGGTCGTAAAAATGGTATCGTGGACAGGCAAACGAGGGACCTGTAATGGGATTAGCCTGTGATGCGTCTGGTGGCCTGCTGGCAACAGCGGGTGCAGATAGGAAAGTACAAGTTTGGGATGTTGATGGAGGCTTCTGTACCCACTATTTCAAAGGTCATAAGGGAGTTGTGACTAGCATTATGTTTCATCCTGACCCAAATCGTCTAATTGTGAGTTCTGGCTTTTGATATTTTGATAAGTATATTGATTGAGGCATTTATTTATTTTTATTAAATCTAAGGTAAAATTTATATGTTTTGTGTTTGTTTCCTCTCGACTTTGAGTGTTTATTATGCCTAATATGTTTCCATGTTTCCTACAAATGATGATTAGAATTTCTGACTATAAATATACTCCTAAATTGTAATATACATTTGAGTTTGGCACTGGTTTCAAGAAAATAAAGGATATTGTTGTTCTTTTACAACTGTAACATAAAAAACTAAAAACCATTTGTATGCGTCCACAAAACATAAAAAAGTGAAATGATAGATAGATGATTAAAGTGGTATCGTATTTTAGAGAAGTGTTTATATTTCTCAGACAATCCACAATGAGAATTGTATGGAGTATTTAGATTTGACAACTAATGTAATTTGTTCACATCTGAATAAATGGATCAGTTGTTCAGCAACACCTCAGGTGTATTGAGAGTAGCCTTCTTATTTAACTTTCACATTTATACTTTACGTTGAGTTTATTGCTTGTGCATTCCTCGTAGCTTTTTACTGGGAGTGATGATTCTACAGCTCGAGTGTGGGATCTAACAAGCAAGAAGTGTTTGGCAACACTTGAAAAACATCAATCAACAATTACTTCCTTTGCGGTATCTCTTGATGGATGGACCTTAATCAGTGCAGGGAGGGATAAGGCAAGTTTAGTCTTGAAAAACATCAACCAAAAACTCTATATTTCTTGAATAGTGGTGTATTTGAATGTCAAAAGTGCTTTATGTAGAAACGGAAGAATATTGTCATGCATGATTTTTACTTTGCATGTTGTTTAACTTCTACCCGTCTCTTTTTATGTAAGTGTAGTATATGGTCCTAATAGAAGAAGTTGTCAAGTTGATGTATTCGAACTAGTACATGTGCAATCTAATACTTTCTTTTTTTTTAAAAAAATTTTTCATTAATCTCTGACACACATTCTTTCCTACTACACCTGTCCCAAATGTTCACCTTCTTCCTTTTAAGGAAAAAATTAGTTTTTTTTTTTTTCAATTCATCCTTTTAAAATAAATATGAACCGCACAGTCACTTCCTAAGAACAGTGCAGAAAGAAAATGGTCAAAAGTAAGAACATTATGCCGTTATGGGATAGAGGGAAAACTAAATTAATGTTGTAATAACTCATTCAGTTAGTCAACGCATTATGCTATTGTCATTGAACTAATTATATTGTTTTGCTTAAATTATTGGGCCTGATTTATCTGATCTTCGTTTCTTAATTTTGGGTGTATGTATTAGTATACAATTTGAGTTGTCAATGTTGTTTGAAATTGCCCAATAGAATCGTGCCTTGAGGCGTGCCTCAGTGGTTTTTAGGCTTTATGCGATTAAAGGCGTATCTGATTTTACTCCATAGGGAAGGAGTGCACCTTTTATGGGTGAGGCGGAGATATAAGGCGTAGGCAATAAGTCTGCAGTTTAAATTGATTAATTGGGTCCAGATTTATCTGAAACCCAATAATAATTTCAATAATTGATGAATACATATCTCTTCTTTCATGCATTTGGCAATCCCTCTCATCTTTTCTCTCCCTCTCATTTTTTCTCTGTCTCTACCAGTCATCTCCAAGAGACAAGAGTCCAAGGTAAGCTTTACTTCATAAAAAAATTATGCATGCCCTATTATAAGCTCTGTGCCTCTCTTCTCTCTGCATTTTTATCATGGTGTCGACATGGACCTTATTTTATATAACTCATTATAAAAATGGTCTCTAACTTTTTTCGTATTACTCCTTAATTATATTCACTCTTTTTTTATATTATTCCTTAAGCTCTGTGCCTGCCTCCTTTTTGTATTACTCCTTAAATATATTTACTCTGTGCTTGTAATTATTTGTATACATGTGCAATGTTTGTAATTATTTTATATTCAAAATTTTCTTTTCATTTTTATATAATTTGTAGTTGTTTTTTTTACTTTTGAAGTTGACGTGGTTTTGATCCAAGTTCAAACAACTATTTGAAACTACTAGATATCAAACTCTCTTCCATTCATCAATCTAACAGGCTTACATTTTTAGCATACATAATTTCAGTGGTGTCTTGTTTAAACCAAAGGTTTCCATTACATTATGACATTTTTGTTAGTATGTTTATAAAGTTTGTTGTTCTGGATGAATAGTTATTTCTTGTTACTTTTAATTTTGTATATAAATTAATGCCCCACAAATTAAGATTTACGCCTCATTGCGCAATGAGCCTTGCACAATATACCGTATAAAAAAACGTCTCAACTATGCAATACACAATTTAAAACTTCGGTTGCCAATGCTTATAATTCTTGTTTAAAGTTCAGGATGGTCTTGATTATCTTAACTAGCACATGCATGATATAGGATTCCATAATTTACTTTTGGTTAGGCTCTAGGGTGCTTACATCTCAAATCTCAATAATAATATCCCATAAATTATAATAGTTTATTAGGTCCGGTAATGCGTTCTTCTGTTGTTAATGAAACTAAGTCTTGTTTGTTTTCATAAATGTTATCTTGGAAAGTGTTTTCTGTATTTTCTTGTGTTTGGTGCAGTAAAACATTTTCCATTGAAGTTTTTTGTAAAACGTTTTCCTCTTTTGAAAGAGGAAGTCATTTTTCTGAAGCAGTTTCATTTTTTGATTTTTTTACTTCCTCCATCCCAATTCAATTTGCAAAAATTGACTGGCACAAAAATCAAGGAAGGTAATAAATAAAGTTTATCTTTACTATTTTGCCTATCTCCCATGAAGTAGAGGCATTTAAGTAAATGGAAAAGGGGTAAAAGTAATGGAAAGTTTGTCACTTTATTCATTTTTCCATACCTAAAATAGAAAGTGGAAAATCATTTTGGGACAATCAAAATAGGAAATCTTTCAAATCAAATTGGGACGGAGGAGGTATAATTCATTATACAAAGATCAACTACTTTTTCAGGAATACATTCTCCAGATAAATATTGTGTTTAAAACATTTTCCCTGACTCATTTTCCTACAATCAATAAGATCCTAGTTATATTACATTTGCTTAAATATCTGGCATTATTTTCCCAGCCATTACTTTTTCCTATTGTATGCATATTTCTATACATGCCTAGTCGTTGATGATCAAATATATTTCAGGTAGCAAATTTGTGGAATCTGCAAGACTTTAGCTGTATGATAACAATTCCAACATTTGAGGCACTTGAAGCTGTATGCTTGATTGGGCCTGACTCTCCTTTCAATGCATGTTTTGCTTCTTCTGCACATCCTGTAAACAAGAGAAGTGGAGTACCATCAATTAATTTTGTAACTGTCGGTGAAAGAGGAGTAGTGAGGATATGGAATTCCGATAGGTATCTGACATTGATTGAATTTTGAAACTTTACACTACTGTATATATTTATGTTTTTATGAATATTTCTCTTTCACTATTTACTTAAGAGGTATACGAAACTAGTTCTTAATTTCTCATTCAGCAATGTATAAACATCATCAACATTGCCCAACTTTTTTGACTCACTTGAATAATTTATGGCTAAAAACCTCAAAATTTAGAATACACAACAGCATATTATCCTTCGACTATGTCTTTTTGCATAATGAAGCTGGGTCTGACTCTCTAATGTATGTCTCACAGAGGTCTTTGTATTTTCGAGCAAAAGTGTTCAGATGTTACTGTCAGTTCTGAAAAAGAATCCCAAAGAGGCTTTATTTCAGCATTCATTTTGCCTTCAAGTCATGAGTTGCTGTGTGTCACGGCTGATCAGCAGTTTCTTATTTATTCTCCCCATGAATCTGAAGGTATATTTCGACTAAATCTTACAAAAAGGCTTGTTGGGTACAATGAAGAGATTGCAGATATGAAATTCTTAGGAGATGATGAACGATTCCTTGCTGTTGCCACAACTGTTGAACAGGTAAGGTTTTGTTATTAGCTTCTTGATCTTAACACTTTCATCTTGGTGCACTTAATGTTTGCAATATCTCTGGTTCTAATTGATATTCTACAGCAATTCATTTTTCAACCCGCCCGATATCGATAGGGGGTGCAAACCATTTTTTTGTTTATCGGTTTTAAGATAAATCAAAGATTATTGATGAATATTTCTGATATCTTTAAAATTACCAGAGTAATTGAAACTTCTCTGTGACATCTTGTTTACAATCAAGGATACATGTATTTTGGAAGACTCCTAGAGAAGCGACGAGGCATAAGTTGTATAACAAAATATTTTTGAAATAACCTATCGATCTAAGACCATGATATGCCATTTCCTAAGATTCTCAAAATTCTAGAAATATCCTCCAATTTTATTCAGTATAGTTTGTAAAAGGCATAACCATCAATCATGAAATTTAATAAGTATTCATGTTTTGAGTTACTTTGAGCTTAACTTTGTAGAGACTAAAGACTCGTGTAACATTACCTGAGTTTATAATCTTTATGGACTTGTTTTCAGGAAAAATCTTTGTAACAGCCCACCCTAGATTTTTTTTTTCTGGCTACGCCACTGGCTCTGATGCTCAATTTTAAAGAATAGGATATTTGTAAAGAAATTGTTGAAGTGTATGTTGGGTAGGAGCAAGTCTTGTGATTTTTGACTTTATTACTATTTCATTTCAATAAATCGTAGAAGTCCATAGTTGTTCATCCTTATATGAGGAAATGTGACAATATATGGTAAATAAAATTAATAGAAAAAAGTATATTTTTGGTATACAATGATAATCATAAACTATACTACATTATAACATCAAATAAGGATATGTATCTGACAACCTTTCTGTACACAGGTCCGAGTGTATGATTTGACTTCAATGTCATGCACCTATGTGTTGACAGGTCACACCGAAATTGTCCTGTGCTTAGATACATGTGTATCATCTGGAAGGGAGCTAATTGTTACAGGAAGCAAGGACAACAGTGTAAGCTATGAATGCTGTTTCTGCTTTTGATGCTTCCACCTCCTCTCCCCTTTATTAATGGGGGTGTGTGGATTTTAAAATGTTGGGTCTATAGGCATCTTGCTCATATGCTTATTAAGTTTGTATATTCATGGTCTAGTTGACTTTGTTTTAGAGTGTTTATATTAACTTAAAGCTGGCTCGTTACCACTGAGAGAATATTGTAATCCAGTTTCATGTTCAATCCCTCTCCAATGAGTGTGTTGCGAATTATGGCTAATTGGCTATTGTAAATGAACTAAGCTTTGTCTGTTATGCATGCTTGCTTCAGACATATATAATATCTAAGCTGTTGTTTTGTCTTTGTTTTATTTTTTCAAGCTTATGTAAGTATTATTCCATCGTTATAATAGGTTAGGTTGTGGGATTCCCATGCTAGACATTGCATTGGAGTTGGTGTTGGCCACATGGGAGCTGTTGGTGCCATAGCCTTTTCAAAGAAACATCTCAACTTCTTTGTGAGTGGTAGCAGGTACATGTCATAGTCTTTCCAAAGAAACATCTCAACTTCGTTCGCAGACGCATTTAATCACAAATATGTTATAAACTCAAAACACTAACATTCTAATTTCTAAATCATACAGACACGATTATGTTTTTCGCTGACTTTTTTGGCACAGTTAATTGAATGATATGTCCTCAACATATTGCGTAGGCTTTTCATCATAAAATTCATCCACTTGATTATGTGATACATTTCATGTGTCTGTCGTGCAAGGTTTAAAAAGGCGGGTTCGGGTTTCAAGGCGGTTTGTTCCTAAGAGGTGAGGCGTAAGCCTAAAAAAATATAGACATATAAAACTTGATATAATTAAACTAGTAACAAACAACTCAAGAAGTAAAGGATATCCATAATTACAAGTCCAAAAAGTGTGAGACACAAATACATGTGACCTATTACCAGTAAGTCACTAGGCTTCAAACACACAAAAAGAAACATCTCACAAAAACAGACACATCACAGTCTCACAAAAACACAGAAACAACCCACACAAATTGCATCACCAAGGCCTTCAGAACTACTAGGTGTAGCAGTAGAAGCATGACATCTTTTCTTTGAACCTCTCACCATTAAACTAAATCTACAGAGAAGTATTAATAATGACATGACTAAGGAAGCAAAGTAAATCCTTTACCAGTTAGAAAACATGAACAACAGTTTTGTAAAAGAAGGATAAGAAGCAGTGAAGGAGAAGAAGAACAACAGTTCTGTAAAAGAAGGATAAAAAGCAGTGAAGGAGAAGAGATGAAGGAGAGGAGTCTAATAAGAATAGGAGAAAGAGAAGGGGATGGAGAAGAAGAGAGGAGAAGAAAAGTTACCTGGCAGCTTTTGGGCTGTTGTAAGGAGATGTCGCAGGAGAAGAGAGTGTTCTTTGCGTAGGTGAATAGAAAGTATATGTTAAGGTTCAAATCCTTCAAATCCTTATCATGATTTGAATGAAATAAGACTTGTTAGGGTTTAGTATATGGGCTTCTATTTAGAAAGAACTCTGGGCTTTTTATTAAATGAAATACTTGGGCCTGTTTTAAGTCACTGCGCAAGTGTTCAAGGCGTGCGCCTCAACAAACGCCTCAAGGCGTGCGCCTCAACAAACGCCTCAAGGCGTGCGTCTCAATCTATGAGGCGTAAGCCTCTTTACCTGCGAAAAAACCTACGCCTTGATACCCAACCAGTACGCCTCAGCTTGAGGCGCGCCTCAGAACCCGTCTCATAAGCGCCTTTTTAAACCATGCTGTCGTGTGCAGAAAGATATGACATGCTTAATTGCGAAGATAATAGTATGGATGTGTCAATTTGTGTTTATTTGTTGTTGAGATTTTTAACTCCACAGGCTTGGGTTTGGTTGAGACCCAAAACTTGTTTAGTCTATGAATTTTCTTCATTTATTGCATTCCAACAATGCTCCCTTTTTATTATTGGGAAATGTAAGGAATCCTAAGATAATCCTTTCTAATTGACATAGTGGTCGTTTTTCCATGTTTGGCTAATCGTTTTTGCTCTGAAATGGTATTTTAAGTAAAACACTCCATACGTGTGTGGAGAACCATTTTGATAAAGTTATAGCTGCTCCCAATATGCAAAAATCAAGAAGTTACAATTTGTAGTTTCTGCATTTTAGCATTTTGTGTTCTTTTATTTCTTTTTGGATCAAAATGCCTCCTGACATACACTTTTTCTATCAAATCATTTGCACCAATGCCATATTCAAAAGGTTCACCTTACCTAGTTTTGTGGTTGTTTGTTGTCCTTACAGCGACCGTACTCTGAAAGTATGGAGTCTAGATGGCCTCCCGGACAACAATGAAGAAATTTTTAATTTGAAGGCAAAATCAGTAGTTGCAGCACATGACAAGGATATTAACTCTTTGGCCATTGCACCAAATGATAGTCTTGTTTGTAGTGGTTCCCAGGTATGAACCAACTTGTCAGCACTTAGAATCTCAAATATTTCCAGTGCGGATTGTATGGCATCATACTTTTTTCTTATTATTTTATTGTTTCTTACCATTACAAGGACCGCACTGCGTGCATTTGGAGGCTTCCAGAACTAGTATCTGTTGTCACACTCAGAGGGCATAAAAGAGGGATTTGGTCGGTGGAATTTTCTCCAGTTGATCAGTGTGTGATTACGGCTTCTGGAGATAAGACCATAAAGATATGGGCTATATCTGATGGTTCGTGCCTGAAAACATTTGAAGGGCACACATCAAGTGTAATTCGAGCATCATTTATTACGCGGGGCACTCAATTTATTTCTTGTGGTAAAATCTAATCCTGAAACCTATATTTTAAAATTGGTTTTATGACCTACTTCTAAAAGCCAATCATTATCCTTTTTTAGGCGCTGATGGTTTAGTGAAGCTTTGGACAGTCAAGACCAGTGAATGTATTGCAACATATGACCATCATGAAGACAAGGTACTAACTTTCATACGCTCTAAGTTACGTTGCACTTAGTGAAGCCTAATGGATATGCATATTGATTTGACAAGTACAGGATAATCCATTTTTATGGGTCCATCCATTGATATTTACATGTTGCTATGGCTGCTCAACATCCTGTTGATTTTCTTGATGGGCTTATGACATATTTTTACCTTTCCCATTAATTATGTTCAGACTTGGGATTTTTTTTCATTTGTCTAATTTCCTGCTATTGGGTTGTCTACAGGTTTGGGCTTTAGCTATTGGGAAGAGGACAGAAATGCTTGCAACCGGTGGCAGTGATGCAATAATCAATTTATGGCACGACTCCACAGCTTCAGATAAGGAGGAGGCTTTTCGTAGAGAAGTGAGACATTTAAATTTTTTAGACTCATGCTGCACAAAGTAGGGAGTTACTGATCTGGTAAGAACTAAATTCGGTTATATGGCGATGCAGGAAGAAGGTGTTCTGAGAGGTCAGGAGCTAGAGAATGCTGTGTTGGATGAGGATTACACTAGAGCGATCCAGATCGCTTTTGAGCTTCAGAGACCTCACAAGCTGTTTGAGCTATTCAGAGAACTCTGCAGGTACTCATCTTTAGCTCCCTTGTTTTGTTATGTCTCGTATCTGTAACACAGTTAAATTTAATGCAGTAAAGAAGAGCCTAAAGTTCTGTTAGAAAAAGCTTTCCATTCATTTGGCAAGGAAGAATTTCGATTGCTTTTGGAGTATATCCGAGAATGGAATACAAAACCAAAGCTCTGTCACATTGCACAGTTTGTTCTCACTGCAGTATTCACCATTCTTCCACCCACACAGATGGTAGAGGTTTGTGCTCTCTTTAGTTTTTGTTACTGCACCGCTGAACTCAGGTTCCCTTTGTTTTATGGAAAATGAGTTGCTAGAAAACGTTTCTCTCATTTCCTCGTCTTTGATTGGTCCAAGAAAATTGGTCGTTGCAAATTATTTCCAGATCAAACAAAAACAAATACATTTTGGGGAAATTCCCCGAATAGGATTAAATGCAACTTAAATTGCAAGAATAGGAGTATAACTTTTGAATCCCCTAAATAGGAGCAACCTCACAATCCTACCCTTGCTATGTTTTAATACAATTGAATTTTTTTAATAATTAAAACATTAAAGTGATAAAATAAATTTATTTATAATAAGTTTTATAAAAATAAAAAAAACACGAAAAATAAATATTAAATAAAATCAATAAAAATAAAAATTAGAAAAATAAAAAATTATGAAAATAAAAATCTTAAACAATTAACTAAAACAAGTAAAAAAAAATGCAGACCTCTACCGCCGCCTCAGCCACCACCCAGCACTACCAATTCCGACATGTATCCTGATGGCAGTTTTAGGGAAAATTTTGGCATTTTCAAAGAATAATAATGCCATCTTCATGAATTTTCGAGAGAAAAGTGGCATTCTTTTACACAAGTTGACACTTTTTCGCTGAATGGAGGTTGCGGTGCTGAGAGAAGTCAGAGGCGGCGGGAAAGCTATGTTGTAAAAACCGAACCATAAAGCAATCCGGCCGCATGCCCGGGTCACGGGTCAATCCGGAACTTGTTTGTCAACCCGGTCAACGCCATGCAAGCGGTCAACATTTCTGTATATCATAATAAACATATAATTATATATAATTAAATTAAAAGTAGTTATTATTCATGATAATCAACTAATGGTAATAGTGTAATGCTTGGTAAGCATTTAAAACATTTACTATTAAAACATTTACTATGGTAAGCATAGTAGTTATTTTTCAGAAACCTGTTCTTTGCCGTAAAAGAACTGTGGCCAATTCAGTTCTTATAAGAACGGATTATACAGGTGAAGCATCAATAACAACTATTACTATCAATGATATTAAGGATTACTATGGAATTTATTATTACTATCACTATTAACAACTATTACTATCAATAACAACTAAATATGAATTACCACCTCTGTCCCGAAAAGGTTCACCAAATTGACAATGTACTATTGAAAAATATCATTGGTCAAAGTACTACCTTTTCGGGACGGAGGTAGTAACTTCGTAATTTGTTTCGAGCTGACAATGAATTAATGATTTAATCACAGTGGAATTTATAATTACTATCGCTATTAATATTATTATTATTAATACTATTACCACTACTACTAGTATTTTAACCTGGGAGGGAAACCCCAATGTGAGGGGCAAGGATGAGCATTACACGAGTCTAATGTGGGGAACAATGGATTATTATCAATATTATTTCCACTGAACATGAATGGTAAAGCTTAAGTGAAGTTTTGTTGTTTATATGGTGTTTCAGATAAAAGGTATTGGAGAGTTGCTTGAAGGAATTATTCCTTACTCGCAGAGGCATTTTAGCAGGGTGGACAGGTTAGAAAGAAGCACTTATCTATTGGACTATATGTTAACCAGCATGTCAGTCATTGAACCCAAGTTGAGCGATGGCAACTTGAGTCAAAACATAGAAGAAAATGATGCTAGAGACGTCTCCATTGAAGCAGCAGCAGAAGAAGAAGAGAAGTTGAAAGAAGGCGTATTTGCGGAGCAAGAGGCCGGCCAGACAGAGGATAAAACTGGTGTCCTCTCTTCAAAGAAAAAGATATCACGCAACTTGAGAGGCATTGAACCATTATTAGCTGGGGTTTTAAATATGCAAAATTCTAATCAAGATAAGTTGGAAATGAGAAAGACGTCTTCGAAGAAAAGGAAATCACACAAGTTAAGAGAATCTGAACTAGTAGTCGGTGACGATTTAACAGAGGTAAATCAGGAGGACTTGAAAAGCAACATCTCTTCAAGCAAAAGGAAATCACATAAGTTAAGAGGCTGATTCTGAGATGGATAGATACATAGGTAAAATGAGGCCATAGGCTACAATTTCGGATCCATACTTGGGCTCCAGTTATGGTGTGTAATGGCTGCCTAAAGCTAGAGACTGTTATTATCCAGTTTTGTCACGAGGGGCATTCTATTATTATTATTCCTTGACAAGTTACCATTCCCCTTGAATGTAATCAATTAAACTATGTGAATTGCGGCAAAAGTTATTTTTTTTGACATTACGCGATCCATGAATATTCATAGAGAATGGCCCCTAAGTTTTGGGGTTAATTATCGTTTAACATGATTTTTACTTGTAACATGCTCACTTGGGGTTATTGTTTTTTATAGGATGATTTTATTATGGTGGTCTCTTTTCCATATGAAACTATGAAAGTTTTACAAGATAACTTTCGGTCAATAGAAAGTTCTATCGACCATGATTGGTCTATCCTGAAGTTTGAATTGTGTAGGTAGGCATGGACCCAAACGGGCTGAACTGGGCCGGAACCGCACCGGTCCGCTACAGTGGGCCTGGACTGGATCAGGCCTGGATGGCCAGTTCCGCGCTTTAGCCCGGTTTGGGTGTTTTGGGGGGTTTTGGGGGTGGGGGGGGGGGGGGTAAGGGAGGGGGGTCGGGTTTTAATTAGAAAGCCAAAAACAAATTACATATCACCGGTCCCGGCTCGGACCCGGTATTATTGATGGACTCGGGATGGGTCGGGCCCTGGCTGGGCCTAGGCCTGGTCGGGCCGCCGGGTTGTATGACATGGGCCCGGGACCGGCCCGAGGGTTGGACGGGTCCGGTTCAGGCCGGGCCACCCGCCCGGGTCATGGGTCGGGTCCGGTTCGGGCCGGGCCGGTTAATTTTTTTTTTATAATTTATATTTTATAGTTTATAGTTTTATACGAGTATTAAAAACAAACTTCAATTGCATTTATTTGAAATGAAATAGGAACTACATTTGAAAATTAAAACAAACTTTAAGAGATAAACATTTTGAAAATTGTAATCAATCGGAACTTTCCGTACCTCCTGATCCTTTGGCTTTGTCACATGACTTCATATGTTTGATTGCCATCCTGAATCCGCCTGAAACCCCCATGCTACATTTTTTCTCGCACCATTTGCAAATTGCGTACCACATCCCGGTCTTCGGGTCCTTCCGCTTATCAAAATTATACCGTATAATGGCATCTTGATTTTCCATCTTAACTTCTTAAGTATAAACTATAAAGTAGATATATAAATAATAAATATAATATATTGGAGAATAAGAGAATTAGAGAGTTAAGAATAGGATTTAGGAAGAATTGGAGAAGAGATATGAAAAAATGTTTAAGATTAGGAGTATTTATAGGTTTTTATACCCCCCACCCCCAACGGCTAGTAGCCCAATTCAATTTTTTTTTTTAAAATCAGACCGCCCGGACCATGACCCGGGCCCGACCCGCCCATTCCCACCGGTTCGGGTCCACACCCGGTCCCGGACCGCCCGACCGGGCCGGTCCCGGGCCCGCACAGTACCGGGCCGGGCCGGGTCACGAGCCGGGTGGCCCGAACCGAATCCACCCCTACCCGGTATCAACCCGGGCCGGTTTTGGGCTCAACATTCCAAAAAAAAAGCCCACCTGGGTCTAGCCCTGGCTCGGAACTGGCCCGGCCCAAGTCCACCTCTATGTGTAGGTCGTAGAAACATTTTCTTCTAGAAAAACTAGACCACCTACTGATACTTTTCTTTCAGGGCTATGCTTATTATACATATCAAATTGAATTGTACGTCAAAATGTTTCTCGCAAGATCAGACCTCACAAGGTTTTGTTTTAAGGCGCTATCATTAGAGTATGACTGAAGCAAGGCTGTGTAGATCTCTTGCATTGTTTACGTATATTTCGTAATGAATATTCACTTCGTCTCATTGGACTTTGTCAATTTTCTTTTTTTGGTTGTCCTAAAAAAAGTTTGCTATTTTCCTATTACAACAACAATAACATCCAAGCCTTAATCCCAAAAGATTTTGGGGTCGGCTAACATGAATCGATCAATGATATCGACGTCAAACAGAGAAGATGGACAAGAAAGGGAAGAAAAACAGTAAGATAAAATGAATAAAATAAAGATAAATAAATATAAGATAACAATAAAAGAAGAATATAAGAAAGATAAAGGAAAAAAAGAGAGCATAAAAAGCTAGAATATAAAAATAACATAAGAATATACAAAGATAAAGAAGATAAACGATAAAAGCAATTAATTTGTGGTTTTGTGCATTTCTATCTCCTCTGCACAAATTTCAACAATACAGTTTTTACTATTCTTATTTCTCACTTACTTTGCATTTGACAAAGTCTACTGGGATGGAGGTAGTAGTTGTCTTTTTTTTATCTTCTTGTAATTGCATGTCACTAAAGAGTAGCAAAAAATTGCAATGAATAAAAAGTACACATGTCTTTGACGTTACCATTTAGGCTTGAGAATTAGTACCGTAAAATCGAAAAAATTCATCCGAACATGCTATTCACAGTCATTGGTTCCCCAATTTCTCTGTGGCATGAATTCTCTGACTGTCTACGGAGTCGACGATAATAACCTGGATGATGCCGCGTTGTGGGCTGGTGATCGATTCACCTCCATCACCTCCAGGACGACCACCATCGCCACAGTTCAACAATGTAATCCTCTTGCTGTCAAGCACTCTCCTACAGTCCCCTCCCCTTATCCTCACTCTAATGTGGGCTTTCTAAAAGCCCTACAAAGCATCCTCACCCTGATGGTGAGTTCTTCAATCAAGGCTCGAATAAAACTACCAAGTTTAACAGTTTGGCTTCTCCGTATCGAAGCGGCATGAATAACAACTTTCGGGGCCGAGTGTACACTTGGGGACATAAAGGGATGACCTCCCACATGAGTGGGGGCCACCCCACGATGGATAGAAACCCTTCCTTTTTTCTCCAACTCGTACAGAATGTCATTAAAATCTCCAATTACCATCCATGGTAGCAAGCTATTATCTCCCAAACTTCGTAGCATGTCCCACGCTGCTTGCCTTCGGCTGGTTTCCAGGTAGGCGTAATAACATGTTAGCCGCCAAACTAAGTCTCATGTCAGCACTTTCACTTCGCAATCAAGAACATTAGGGTTTTCCGGCACAGTCTTAAGCTGCACATTGTCGTTCCAGCCAAGGGCCAAGCCTCCACTTCGGCCATCACTGTCCATCCCCGCCGTGTGCACATAACCCCTCGCCTGCAATATTTCCTTAGCCCGCTGACACCTCAGTTTTGTTTTCATTCGAAACACAAATGACGGTCTATGTTGGTTGATGATGTCCGACAATCCTTGACTAGTTGCTGGATTCCCCAACCCTTGACAATTCGAACTCATAATACTCATATTGGAAAAGATACTGAACAACACCACTGAGCTCTAATGAAACGATCATCGTCGGACGAAAACCTAGGCTATACCTAGACGATGGCTGTTTTTCACCCATACAATTTTTTTATGATAATTTGTTAGACTCATCTTATAAAACAAATCATATTTTTAATTGAACTCAATTTTTTTAATTGATCTTATATTATGTTCCGTAGATGTTTGTTTTATTTATACTTTACTACGGAAGCCTATATGGTACAGCCGACTGTACGGTACTAGCCGTACAGCCGGTGGCAAACTTGTAATTTTGATAAAAATCTCAGTTTCTCTTTAAATGAGCATTGAATCAATTTTGATGAGCATCGAGCCTCTTCTTTTGAGTATTAGGAGCCATAACTTACAAATTAGTATCAAAATGAGCATACATAACTTACAAATTAGTATCAAATAATTAAAAAGTTCATTTGTGTGTGCTCATTCATTTTGAGCGTTATACTCATTTGAGTTTAACATAAAACTCATTTCTAATGTGTTTAATATTCATTTGTATATGTTAATTTAAAATGAGTATTACATTAATATCAAATGAGTATATATAAATTAGAAAATGAGCATTTTCATAAAATTCATTTGAAATGTCTACTATGCTCATAATTTCATTTATTACGTTCACATCTGAAGAATTACGTATAACTTAGATTTCTCTAATATATGGTTAACAAGTGACCAAAATCATTCACCAAACTTAAGTAAGAAAAAGAGAAAAAGGAAGAGTCCAAAGTAAGAAAGATGGAGAAGAAGCAACTATATACACCAGGTGTTGCGCAGATGCTGGAGAGTTGCGGCTATTGAGAATCGTCATCTGTGTAGGCGGCGAGTGAATGACGAGCAACGAGAACGATCTGCGATGGAAGCCTACGAACTGCGATGAAGACCTGCGATTTGAGAATTAAAAGACCGGTTATACCGTGCGCACGGTACCGCGGGATATACGATGGAATTTAGTCTTTACCACTATCAAAATCTAGCGTGAAGCATTCATATTCGGTGTGTTCAGATCCAAAGTAATATGTTCACTCACCAAAACACGAATAAAAAAGATAGGAAAGCGGTGCTGGCAGAGATGGGTCGACGTGTACATTAGCACCATCCAGTCATCCACTCACGGTCGCCTCTTTCAGACATGTGTCCACCCCCTGACGCTGAAATATATTACTGGAAAATTGGGTTCGGTTTGGTTTCCATATAAAACATATATCCCCTTTCTGGAAAATAATATCCTTCGATCCCAAGAGCTCAGCTCTTCCGTTTCTTTCTCCCCATCTTCCATTAATAATTCCAGAATAGTATCATTTACCTTTGAATCGCGTATCATATCATGGCAACCCACCCCCTCAAACACAGAACAACAACCAACCGGGAAGAAGAAGACGGAAAATCAAAAGGCGGAGGAGGAAGAAGAGCGGTATATGAGATGAATAATGGAACCGTCACAACCAGAACAAGGAGACAGAAAGCCAAACGCGGCCTTAGATCACTGGGCATCGCCGTCGCCTTCCCCCTCTCCCTCACGCTTTTGGACATCTCGCTTTTCGGGTCAAGCCAGCAGTACCGGGCCATGGAGAAACCGTTTTGGGTCCCTCGACTCTGGGCCTTGCACTTGGCCTGCTTGGGCTCCGCATTCCTGATGGGCCTCTCCGCGTGGCTTGTTTGGGCCGACGGTGGGTTTCACCGCTACCCCATGGCCATGCTCTTGTACCTCAGCCAGCTCGCTCTGGGCCTGGCGTGGGACCCAGTCGTGTTCAAGGCCGGCGCGACTCGGGCTGGGCTGGTCCTCTGCCTCGGGCTGGTCGGCGCGTTGGTCGGGTGCTCTCGGGCGTTCAAGAGCGTGAATCCAATCGCCGGCGACCTAGTCAAACCTTGTCTTGGGTGGGCTTTCCTCGTCTCTGTCACGAACCTTAAGCTCATAGCATCCCGTTGATAACTCGGGTAGCTA